CCTCGGTGCGCCGTGGGCCGAGTATGAGCGCGAGGCGGACCGGCTCGGGCTGGACGTCTTCCGGCTGCCCATGGCGGAGGGATTCGCGCCCACCAAGGTGGCCGAGATGGACGCCGCCATGACGGCCATCGTGACCGACTGCACGCTGCGCGGCACCAACGTGCTGGTGCACTGCCGAGGCGGCGTGGGCCGCGCCGGCTTGATCGCGTGCGCGTGGCTGTTGAAGATGGGCTTTGTCGCCGACAAGCCCCCGCGCCCGAAGAAGAAGGCGGAAGAGGCGCGGAAGTTCCTGCCTCATGCGCATGAGCTGGACGACAAGCCTCGCAAGGCGCGTGCGTCGGAGGTGGACGATGCCGACGACGATGCGGAGACGATCCTCGAGACGGTGCGATCGCTCATCGAGACGATCCGCCGACGCCGCAGTCCCAAGGCGATCGAGACGGCCGAGCAGGTGCGCTTCCTGGTCGACTACCTCACCTATCTGCACCGGCAGGAACGGCTGCGTGCGCAGGCGGGCCGTTGATGACAAGCTTCACGCAATGCATGGGTGCGACGGCACAGCTCTTTTTCAATCATTTTGGCATTCTTATGGTGTGTGGGCTCTAGGTGATGAACGCGCGGGCACGGGCGATTGATAGTGCACGGTCGACTGCACGCTGGGTGGGGGTGAGGAGGGCTTGGACTTTGGCGTCGACATCTTCGTTGATGCCTGTGGTGGATGTTGCGAGCATGTCTTCGATCCTGGCGGCGAATTTTTTGAGGTTGGCGGCCATTTTGACTGCGACTGCGGTGCGCGCTTCGTGTTGAGCCTCTTGATCGGGTTGGGCGGGTTGGGCGGACCAAGAGTCGTTGTCGTCTGGACCGGGAGCGATGGCGTTCCAGAACTGACGCAGGAATTCGGTTGTCGATGCCTGGAGGCTTACGAGCGACTTTTGCACGGCCTCGGGCAGGGTTTTGAGGTCCGAGGCCGCGCGCGGGTTGAGAGAGCGCGAGCGGAGGTTGGCCACCATGCGCGACATGGCTTTCTCCGTCCCCGGCGCGCTGGTTTTGAACGACCCGAGCCCAATGGTGGCGGACTGAACCTCGGCGTTGAACCTCTCTACAAAGCCAGCGTACTCGGCGACCGTATCCGCAACCACTTCGAACGATCCGGTGGTGGATTTGGTGGGAGAGGTCGAGTCGGTGGAACCGCTCTGTGTGTTGCTCAGATAGCCTTCGAGACCGGCCATGTTGAGACGCACCGTGTCGTCGCGCCGCGTTTCGTTGAGTTCGTCAATGACAATCTCCTTGTAGTAGTGATTCTTGATCCAGTCGACCGAGTCCCCCGCCTCGTCCTCCTCCACCCCGTCATCAGCTGGAGGATGGTCGGAGTACTCTTCGCCCACGCCACCCACGATGCGTCTGCGCTTGCGCTGTTCCTCCTCCTGATCACCCAGTGCCGAATCGAGCAGACTCTGCGAATGGTCGTTGAACCTCCGCATGAGCGGCAGCGTCCGACGCTCGGCACCGGCACGCATGGTCCAGTCCTTCTCGTTGCCCGTCTCGCCATGGTCCTCCTCCGTCGCCTGCAGATCGAGCAGCCGATCGTGCGGATTGAACACGCGCCGCGGCTCGAGCTGGTTGTCCTCCTCGGTGAGGTAGGCGTCAAAGATCGCATCGTCCTGCACAATGTGTTCGGACGCCGCGGATCGTGCACTCGTCCGCAGACGGTGGTACAGCTTGGACTGGAAGTAGCGCGTCCAGAACGAGCCCTCGTCGAGCTTCGACGGCACGTTCTCGTCGTACGCGCGCGCCACCACGGGGAACTGCTCAAACAAGTCGCGGATGAGTTCCGGAGTGATGCTCAGCTTCATCTCGCCCGCCTCGTTGGGTGTGGGTTTCGGGTCGGCAAGCCGTGCGTTGCGGCCCGCGCGTTGTTCGAGCTTGGCGCGCTCGGCGCGGATGAGACGCTGGCGCTGCGGATGCGACCAGAACTCGGCATCGGACATCTGGCCGCTGATGACAATGTCCTTGTGCAGAGCGCGCAGCTGCGGGTTCGACTTGATCACGCTGATGCGCAGCTCGATGTCCGTCTTGGGCGGCGGCAGGTCCTTTGGCCGCGGCCGTTTGGAAGGCGCGGGCGAAGCGGCGGTCGATGCGGCGGTCGAGGTTGGCCGCGTCTGTGTAGGCGTCGCAGCGCGCGTGTCCGGTGTGGCAGCGCGGGTTGCGCTCGACGGCGATGACGGCACCGCAGCCGGGCTCGCAGGCGTCGAAGGTGCCGCCGAACCAGCATCTGCACTGGCTCGATTCCGACTTACGGCAGCCGCGAGTTCGGTCTTGAACTTTTCGCGGTCGTCGAGTGCCGTCTGCTGCGCTGCATTGAATACGAGCAGCACTTTGGGTTTGGATGCGACCTGCACGCCGTTTGCGAGCACAAGCATGAGTGCGATCTGCGCCGCACCCTCTTTGGACGTCTGGAGGCCCGCGATGTCGCCAAAGCTGATCGAGAAGGCGCTGACCGACGATGACGAGGAGGACGGCACCCATTTGACTACTTGGTCCGTCTGCAGCGAGAGCGTGCCGGCCACCTTGCTGAAGGCGACGGCCGCGTGCATGTAGGATGAGGAGGATGAGGACGACATGGTGGTGGCGGATCACCCTTCCGGCAGCAGCTACGAAAGCGCTCAAGCCAGCTGCATCGACGTGGCGCAGCAGCGCCGTGGACGTAGGATGTGCCGATGACGGACCGCTTCTGTCGCAAGAGCCGATGCCGATGCCTATGGCTGCTGACTGTCAAGCTCGGTGGGAAAGAAAGGTAGTAGCAAGTTCGGATGGACCGAGGGAGGCCTGGGAGTGTGCTTCTTGGGCATGGAGGTGTGATCTCTCAGACGGCTGAGTGTTCGTGTGGAGGGCGAGGTTGCCCTTGTCAACCTAACATTCTTGCGCTTTTTCGCACCCAACACTCCTTCGCTCCTTTGACCTTCGCTCCTTTGGCAAGTGTTGGTCGTGCACAGACGCTGTGCTTCAACAATTGACGGCCGAGCCGATGCCCCACCAGCTCGCCCTGCTCATCCATCACATTGCTGCGCATCATTGGCGTATTACTGCTGCTGCTGCTGCTGCTGCCCGCTGCAGCACTGAGACGTGGCCGCCATGCTTTCGTTACCGAAGCGGCTCATCTTTGGCAGCCAGTCCAAGATCGACTTCAAGCTCTCAGAGGTCGACGGCATCGCCCGCCTCTATGCCGAACGTCACATCCCCTACCACGACTCCAAGTACTGGTCGCGCTTCCTCCAGCTCGACTCTCCCTCGGACGTCTTCTCGCTCCTCTCGCTCGCAGACCTCCGCCGCGCCCGCAGAGACGCGCCCGAAAACATCGTCACGCTCGTCAGGGTCCTCGTCGCACACCTCGAGAGCCTCTTGCTCGACCCGCTCTTCGAACCCCCTCCCGCAGACCCGACTCGCTCCACCCAGGACCGCTTTGCAGATAGGCTCGGTGGGCTGGCAGACGTCTCGAAATGGAAGATCCCAGGCGCTTCGCTCGTCGGCTTCGAAAGTGCAAACGCAGCTTCGACCGCCGTTCAGAGAGACCGCACAAAGGAGGCGCTCAACGTCGTCCGCGTGCTGACAAGGACCCTGCCCGCAGTTTTGGAGTCTGACGACCGCTCGTTCGAGGATAGCGTGCTCTGGGTACAGGCTCCCGGTGCATACACTGAATCTGCGCCACAAACGATGTCCTCGCAAGCCAAGAGCACCGCGACAGCAGAGGAGCATGACAAGCTTGACACGACGGCGCAATTCGTGATCGACGACGAGGATCAAGAAGAAGGAGAGCACTTGGAAAAGGCGGCAGCGAAGGGCCAGGACATCGACCATCCCTTGAATACGACCGACAACGGCTCCAGTGGGGAAAAGCAACAGCAACAAGCAGAGGACGAGCAAGTGCCCATCGCTCTGGGCGAGCGGCTGGTCAGGCTCGTCGTCGACCTCCTCTTCTGCTCCGGATTCACGCTGCCATGGACCGAGGACCAGCTCGGAGACGGCGCACAGACGGCATTGCCGAATCGCATCAACTACTCCATCTGGGAGGCCGGCGTGGGCAGCTCCATCGACCTGCCCGGCACCACACGCTCGCACGTCTCGAACCGCGTCGAGGTGCTTCGTCTGCTGCTCGTGCTGCTCTCCAAGAGCATCTACATCCCACCCCACCAGCAGTCGACGCTCGTAGACCCAGCGCTCAAATTCGCCGTCCAAGACCTCGACCGCGCCATCATGCTGCCGCTCCTGTGCAGCCTCATCAACACCAGCATCACCAACGCGCGCAACTCCACCTCCGCCTGGCTCGGCCTGCCCAGCGTCGCCACGGGCCTCGTCGGCGGCTCCAACGACGAGGTGCGCTCGAGCCTCGTCACCCTGTCGCTGCAGATCCTCGATGTGCTGCTCACCTACGAGCCGCCGCTGCCGGGCGAGGCCGACACGCTGAGCCTCAGCACCGTTGGTCGTCCCCTACCCGGCCCCGGGGGGCGCAATGTCTTCCGGTTCTACCTCAGCAAGCTGCACCGCACGGCCGACTTTGACTTCATCTGGAACGGGCTCGCCAAGAGCTTCAACGAGCACGTCAGCTCCACCATCCAGATCCTTGCCATCCCCATCTCCATCCCCACGGGCGGCCAGGGTAGGAGGGCGGCAGAGACGGCGTGGCAGCTCAACCAGGTGGCCGAGCGACTCGTGCTGCTGTGGCGCATGCTGGAGCACAACGCCAAGTTTCGGCTGTACGTGCTCGACGACGCGCGGCGCGCCCCGGAGCTGCTCACCATTCTGCTCTACTTTGCGCTCACGTACAAGGACAATGTGGCGCTCCAGGGGCTCGTGCGCATGTGTGCGTTTATGCTCCAGGATGTATCGAGCGAGCGTGCGTTCGGGGCCAACCTCGCCAGGCCCGGGAGTGCGGCCAGAGTGCAGCTGCCCAGCCGGCTCGGGCTGGTGGGTGGGCATACGGCGATCGACTATCTCGTGCAGGCGGTCTACTCGCTCATCGCAGCCACCAAGGGTCAGCTGGCATCGCTGTACGCTCCGCTCGTCATCACGCTCAGCAATACGGCACCCGTGTGGCGCTCGCTGTCCATCACTTCATCGACGCGCATGATGCACCTGCTGCGCTCGTTTTCCCAGCCGGCATTCCTGCTGTCGGACGAAGGTCATCCGAGGCTGCTGTTCTACGTGCTCGAGACGATCAATGCGGTGCTGACGTTTGGATACACTGCCAACGTGAACCTCGTCTACTCGCTCGTGCTGGCCAGGCAGCTCGTGGCGGCGCTCGAGGCGTTTGAGCTGCGCAAAGGGGTGGAGGAGGTGTGGAAGAAGCGGCGTGCAGTGGGCACCGATACCAGGGACTGGTTCCAAAACGCGCCGAGGCTCGAAAAGCCGCCTCTGCCGCGCGCCGAGGACTCGGCCACTTCCCCCGAGGGCGGGGATGAGGCGACGGGACCGAGTGCGGTGGAGAAGGGCAAGATGCGACGTATCTCAACGTCTTCGCTCGAAGCCGAGACGGCCAGCGCGTGGGAGGGTGAGCTGTCCAAGTACCCGCTGTCGGTGGTGGAAGAAGCGGCGGCGCGGTACATTGGCAAGAACGGCTTTAGCCCGACAGCCGCGTGGGTGGAATCGTGGCATGCTGGCTTGCCGCTCAGCACGTTGCGTGTGGTGATTGATCGTCTGGTGCCGGACGTGGAGCGGATTGCGGCGGGTGGGGGTGTTCGAACGGGCACCGCCGAGATCACGGGTGGCGATGTGGATGCGCGCGTACTCGCTTTCCTGCGCGAGCAGCAGATGGCCGAGTACCTTCCGCCTCCCGAGGGAGGAATCCATGCGAGGGGGTGGCAGTGGACAGACCACGCTACAGTGTGGCTGCGAAGCTATCTGTGGGGCACCATCTACGTCGCCGCGCTCTTGCCGTTTGGTCTGTGGAGCGATACCGACGTGCGCCTGTTTAGGATCCACGGACGCGACGAAGCCGGGCAGCCCGCACCTACACAGGCAGCGGCACAGCCACAGACTCCCACCACACCATCGGCAGACACCCAGTCCACCACACACACCTAGACGATGGACAATACTACGAAATCTCACGCTGGGTAATGCAGTTGATGTTGCTTGGATGCGAAGGTTCGAATTGCAAGGGTCTTACAACTCGTCATGGACGTATGGCGATTCGAGCATGCCGGCACCACCGAGCTGATGTGCGGACCAGAGCACGGTTGCGCCGAACACAAAGACGAGGATGGCGATGTCGTTGACAAAGGCATTGATGAGCGCAAGGTACTTGCCGACCAGGCTGATGGCCAGGTGCAGGTTGGGTATGGGCAGCATGGCGGTGAGCGAAGCGAGCATGGAGGGTGGCGCTGGCGTCTTTCTTGCCACCACCGCGATCCTCACAGCCTGCAGCACGATCTCGAGACCCAGGAAGATCCAGAAGAGCGGCAGCGACGACAATGGCCCCATGGGCAGCGACGACAACGTCGAAGTATGATTGAGGCCCCATTCGTCCGCCGAGGGTCGTTGGTAGCCCAGCCGCGCCCATCGCTGTAGCACACCGACTGCAGGTGCATCGCGAGTGAAAGTATCGGTGACACTGTCCGGGACGACGCTCGAGTGGTCCGTGTCGAAGAGCGATGTCTTGGCAGCAAGTATGGCGAGCGCGACGATGAGCGTTGCTTGCACCACGCCGAACAAGCGTTCGGTGAGCGACTTGGTCTTGACTGCTGTTGGCATAGCTGCACCAGGAGCACCGCCAAACGGTCCGCCTCCTCCTCCTGCCGCACCAAACTGCTGCATCATGGCTGCAAGTTGAGGTGGCAGACCGGACATATCAGGCTGCTGACCCGGCGCACCACCTGGACCGCCTGCGCCCGGAGGTCCACCTTGCATCATGGCCATGAGCGCCTCCATCGGGTTCTGTGCCTCGCCTGCACCTGCGCCGGATCCGCCCATGAGGAAAGGATTGGTAGCATCCTCTCCGAACGGTGCGCCAAACGGCCCCCCTCGGCGCGGAAGTGTGGAGATGTCGACTTCGAGCGGGTCATCGTCGTCTGCGCGCGCCACAGATGCAGCTGCAGCCGCAGACGCAGCAGGCGTGTCGTTGGGCTTGGGAGTGGAGGGGAGCGAGGGTGTGGTGTCGTTGAGGTAGGCACTGGCACCTTCGCCGCGGCCAGTGTTGGTGATGCGAGCCAGACGATCGCTGCCCTTGCTAAGGATGCGCGCCTTGCGGGCCTCGCGCTTCAGACGCGCGGCCTCGGCTGCATCGACGGCATCAGAGGCGGTTGCGGTGGGATCCGCAGCAGCTGGAGGTGTGTCGGACATGGTGCCGATGGGCGAGTATGCGAGTGATGATGGAGGCGACGTGGAGGAAGCAGGCTTCTTGGCCAACTGGCGTAGCAGTCCAAGTGCCCCGAGAATCACAATCCGATTTGTTAGGTTGGAATTGTAAAGGCGCGAAGAATCGGCGTCGCCGATGGCGGTGTCGAAAGATCACAGGGCGGAAAGCGAGAGAGAAGCGCACGAAGTGCTTGGACCACGCGCAACGACAGCAGCGTGGAGCGCAAGAATTCCAGGCGGCTCGGCGAGCAGCTGCTGCACGGGAGGAAACGCGGTGTTGGTCTTTGGTCGGCTGTGCCGTTGCTTCTTCACCAACATCACCCTTCTCACGCTGTCTGGTCACAGTGATCGAGATCGATATCGGCTTCGAACCGAGCTGAGCTGATTCAGAAGGGCATTGGAGCATCGGCTCCTCCACCACCATCATCTCCCCCGCTCATCACCAACGGCTGCTCTCCATGCTGCCCGTCTCGCGCAAAGACGCTGAAAAGAGGTCTTCCTACGCTGCCATCGATCTCGACCAAGAACCCACCTCCGCCACCTCGACCACATACTCCTCTTCCACCACTACCACCACCACCGCTTCCTACGCCGCAGGCTTCTCGTCCCCCTCCACCACTTTTGATTCAACACACGACGGACCTCCCGCCTACCGCAAGCGCTACGTCGACTCCAACGACGCCCTCCTCCCCACACACTCTCCACCTACCGCTGGACACCTGGCCAACGACTCGCCGCGCAGAATGGCAAGCCCGGCGCCCAACAGCCGCCGCTTTGCCGCTGGCTTCGACCCGTATGCCGCCGACGACCAGCGTACCGATGCCGCCTCCGTCTCGGATTCGGCCGCGCTCAAGGCCAAGGAGGCTGGATTCGCGCCGCCCTCGCCCGCCGCCAACTCGCCGTCGTCGGCCGCAAAGGTCAACAAGTACGCCCACCTCATCCCCGTTCACAAGCAGCGCAACCCCAACTTGGACCTCGTCGCCTGGACGCTGCGTCAGGAAGAGGTCATCGGCCTCATCTACACCATCCTCTCGCTCATCACGCGTCTCTGGCAGATCGGTCGCTCCAACGTCGTCGTCTGGGACGAGGCACACTTTGGCAAGTTCGGCTCCCACTATCTTCAGCAAGAGTTCTACTTTGACGTGCATCCGCCGCTCGGCAAGATGCTCGTCGGCCTCGCCGGCCTCATCAGCGGCTACCGCGGCCAGTTCGAATTCAAGTCGGGCGAAAAGTACCCCGCCGACGTCAACTACGTCGGCATGCGCGTCATCCTCGCCATGTTTGGCGTCGCCATGGTGCCGCTCGCCTGGTTCACCAGCGCCGGTCTCAACTGGAATTGGCGCGCACGACACCTGCTCACCATCATGGTGCTCCTCGACAACGGCTGGCTCGTCATCTCGCGCTTCATCCTCCTCGACTCCATGCTGCTCTGCTTCACCTTCACCACCGTGCATGGCCTCGTCAAGTTCATGCAGTACAAGTCGGCGCCCTTCTCGAGGCCGTGGTGGTTCTGGCTCGCCTGGACCGGCGCCTCCATCGGCTGCGTCTCGTCCGTCAAGTGGGTCGGCCTCTTTGTCACCGCCCTCGTCGGCGTCTTCACCGTCGAGGACCTGTGGGAGAAGTTCGGCGACCTGCGCATGCCCGTGCGCGCGTACGCACGTCACTGGTGCGCACGCATCCTCTGCCTCATCTTCCTGCCGCTCACCATCTACATGCTGAGCTTCAAGGCGCACTTTGCCATCCTCAGCCGTTCGGGCCCTGGCGATGCCCAGATGAGCTCGCTCTTCCAGAGCCACCTGCGCGGCAACGACTTTGCCCTCTCCCCGCCCGAGGCCGCCTTTGGCTCCAAGGTCACGCTCAAAAACATGGGCTACGGCGGCGGACTGCTGCACTCGCACGTCCAGACCTACCCCGTCGGCTCGCAGCAGCAGCAGGTGACGTGCTACCACTACCGCGACAACAACAACGAGTTCGTCATCACGCCGCCCTGGAACCAGCCGCAGCTGCCCGCCAACTACTCGAGCTCCGAAGAGCCGATCCGCATGGTCAAGAACGGCGACATCATCCGCCTCGTCCACGACCAGACCAAGCGCAACATCCACTCGCACAACTTTGCCGCGCCCGTCACCAAGGAGAATCTCGAAGTGTCGGGCTATGGCGACGAAAAGGTGGGCGACGACAACGACCACTGGGTGGTCGAGGTGGTGGACGACATGGTGCTGGGCAAGGTTAAGCTAGGGGCGCCCGTCCGCTCGCTCACGACGCGCATGCGTCTGCGCCACCACAACCTCAACTGCTATCTGCGTGCCGCGAATGCGGTGCTGCCGCAGTGGGGCTGGAAGCAGGTCGAGGTGTCGTGCGATAAGGAGAACAACCCCAAGGACGAGCATACGTGGTGGAACATTGAGAACCACTGGAACGACCGTCTGCCTCCGGGCGATGAGAAGCTCTACCGCTCGCCCTTCCTGCGCGACTTTATCCACCTCAACGTGGCGATGATGACCTCGAACAACGCGCTCATCCCGGACGCGGACAAGGAGGACATTCTGGCGAGCAAGCCGTTCGACTGGCCGTGGCTGTGGAATGGACTGCGCATGAACTCGTGGGACGACTCTTCGATCAAGTATTATCTGATCGGCAACCCGGTCGTATGGTGGGGATCTTCGGCGTCGTTGGTGGTGTTTGCGGGGACATGGTTGTGGTACATGATGCGACGTCAACGACGTATCCACGATCTGTCGCCCTCGGACTGGGCGCATTTCCTCTACGTCTCGAAAATCGCGGCGTTCGGGTGGGCGTTGCACTATGTGCCGTTCCTGATCATGGCGCGCGTGTGCTATCTGCACCACTACCTGCCCATCCTGTACTTTGCCGTGCTGATGCTCGCGCATTTGCTGGACCACTTTGTATGGCGACCCACCACGGCGGTGTATGCGCGCGGCGGACGCAGAGTACCCCTGTCGCAGACCGTCAAGAACGCCGTGTTTGTGGGGGCGGTGCTCGCGGTCGGCGGTGCGTTTTGGTGGTTCAGCGGAAACAGCTACGGCTACACGGGCGACATCAAGCGCCACAAGGGCTTGAAGTGGCGCAAGAGCTGGAACATTTACTAGACCCCCCGCCTCCATCCTGGCGGTTTTCGCGTTGGAAGTTCTGGGAATCCCGTCAACCTTTTCTTTGGCCATGTGTGAAAAGCAGGATGCGTCCACGGTGTGGGTCTGAGAACACGCTCTTGAGACTGGCATGCGCAGAGGCTTTGACTGGCCCAAAGGCGGGGCAATGCTGCCACCGACGCATGGATGCAGAGCGCCCGTTGTCTGCCCACTCGAGCACTCGCGGCTTGATTGCCGAGACCCATGGAGGCACGGCTGGGAACATGCGTTCACTCTTGAGCTTGTCGCTGGCACCGACTCGCAGCGACGGGCGAGGCTGCAACGGCCCTCCAACCGAGCACATCACCCATGAACGTCGCAGCTGAACCTTTCCTCTCTCTCACTGATCGCTCAAGAAGTGGGACCTGGCGACGCCAAACTCGCCCACTCGATCCGCTTTCAGACCGCAACTCGCTGCGAACAACCCAAGTGAAATTGACTCTAAGCCACGTGCGTCTATGGATCCTCGGTGGTGTCGGAGCGTATGGACAGAGCTTCGTCCCCGTCCCTCTCTGCGCTCTGTTGCGCCAACCTCGCGAGCGCCTCCCTCTTCTCCTCCTTGAACGTCCTGTGGTCGTCCCATCCAATGAATGCGAAGCTGCTTAGCACGGCGGCCGAGCCCAGCACCGCCACCTTGCCGCCCGTATGGCTGCCCTTGAGCGCATCGATCACCACCGCCAGCGGAATAGTCAGCGACAATCCGAGCGTGGTGATGAGTGGCGAACTCTTGAGCATGGCCAGCAGGTAGATGAAGTCGCTGACAAACGTGATGGCCATATTCACCACCACCCCGGCCCAGATGTGCGCCGAAGGCGGAAGCTCAAACTCCTCGACGCCCGAATAATGCAGCAGCGGCAACACTGGCCACAGAGCGCAGATGTTGATCGCTCCAACAATGCCAAACATGAGCGGCATCGAGATGCGGTCCTCCGAGCCGATGCGCGTCTTGAGCAGCATGACGTAGAGCGAGTAGAGAAACGCCGAGAGCAGAGCGAGCATATCGCCCATGGGCGCATTGGGCGGCCCGCGCTCCACCGCCGAGCGCTTCACCATCCCCGTAGCCGTGGCGGTCTCTCGATCAGCAAACGTGACCGCCGCCACGCCAAGCGCGCTGATGCACACAGCTCCGAGCCGCGCGAGTGTGAACCTGTCCACGCCCAGCGCCGCTCCCAGCGCGAGCGTGAAGAAGCCGCTGGCTGAACCGATGGTCGTACCGCTCGCAACGGACGTCAAGCCCAAGCCAGCATTGATGGCCCAGTTGGCGCCGAACCAGACGAGAGTGAACTGCGATGCGAGCACCGCCGTCTGGCGCAGCGTGAGTGGCGGTAGCGGCAGCGCTGCTGCCTCGGTCGCGTCTGCCGAGGGGCGAACGATGCTGATGGATGTGCGCGGCCGTCTTCCGTCGATCGACGACGGACGCGGCACCGCAGTGGAGACCAAGAACGGTCGTACGGGAGACGAGGGCCGCGACACTGGCGGCGTCGGCGTGAGTAGCGGCGTCGAGGCGGTAGACGAGTCTTCAGTAGAGAAAGACCGTGTGAGGCGGATGGGCTTCTGCCTGAGTGTGGCAGTGGATGCACGCCCGCGCAGCTGCGGCTCGTTCGCTAGCACCGCCAATGGTTTGACGAGCGCAGGTTCAGTGGGCTCTACAGTAGGCACGTCGAATCCGAGCGTCTTGAGCCACTTTGGCAGCTGCTTATCGTCCTCGATGGCTGCGTCGGGAGCGCCAACCTCGGCATCATCCTGGTGGAGCTGTGCATAGTGCTGCTCCGCGTTGCTCCATCGCTTGCGCAGCCGGCTGCTGACGAGGTACGGCACAAGGTAAAGCGCGAACGACGAGGTATTCGCATACGTCACGAAGAACGGCTTATCGTATCCACCCGTTGTGAGGAGCGCATTGGTGAGGAAGTTGGAGGCGGTCCAGAGCACCACGACGATGAGCAGCAGCAGCAGGCCCTGAACGTACGACTTGCGTCGACGGTGCGATTGCGTCTCGTCCGGCGAAGCGCGTGCGATTGGCTCGTCGACGTAGTAGCGGGTGGGAGTGGTGTCGACCATGAGCGAAAAGCTGAGCTCGGAAAAGCCGCCCGAGATAAGAAGCGGGAAAGCGAGACGAGAGAGCTCGATGCAGCTCGCGCTCGTTGCGGCCTGGTGCGGCAGTCGGCTGGCTCCCGAGTTGGGCCCCGTTGGCAGCGTGTGATGGTGCGAAGAGAGAGGCAGAGGGATGGTGTTGCAAAGGCTCATCGAGATGCATCATTTCGCCCACGGCTATCAAGTTCGGACCCTCCGAGCAGCGAGTGTGGCTTGCATCAGTCACACCGCAGCTCGACCTTCGCAGACTGAGCCAAAGTTCGCCTTTTTTTTGTGGATGCGGAGAAGGAAAGGCTGCATGGCTGCACCTATCGCGTGCTCGCAGCCGTGGCTGCCGGGCAGCTGTCGTCCGTCGAGAATCGCATTTGTTATGTCGCGAGCTAGCTCACAGTCCACACCCAAGCGCTTTAGCCCGTCGCTCTCCACCGTCCTCACGGCTGTTTCCCATGCGCATTGCTCTCAGGCCAAAGTATCGACGGCGTCGAGAAGTCGGTCCACAGCCTGCAAGACCTCATCATACACGCCTGGTTGTGGATCGAACCGTGTTGTATTTTTTGGGCAGCCCGAGCGACGGAGGCAGGCGAGCTAAGATGGCTGCAGGCCCCTGCACACGGCTACGCTGCAAGTCGACGATCGCCTAGAACCACATTGCCAGAGGCGATGCGAAATTGGGGCGGCGACACGTTTAGCTGACGTTCATGATGGCGTTGATGAGGTCGCCGTTGGACTCCTTGAGCGCCTTGACCGCCTTCCTGCGCGAGCAGCTCACCTGCTGCATGACGAGGTCGATGTCCTTGGCGTCGACGCCCTCCTCGTCGATGGGCGAGTCGTCGTCCTCCTCCTCCTCTTCAGCCTTGGCCTCGGCAGCGCCACCGGCCTGCGAGGTCTGCAGCGACTCGGCGAGCAGACGCTCCTGCGCCTCGGCCTGAGCCATCTGCTGAGCAGCCTGCGCCTGGGCGAGCTGCGACATGTCCTCGGCCTTGGCCTCGCCGAAGACAATGTACACGTCCGAGTGCGACGACTTGTACACCTCGGGCTGGGCGATCACGTAGAGGTGCTGTCGAGAACGGTACGGAGGCACTCGGTCAGCAACACTAGCAAGATTGGACTGCGCAAGGGCGGCTACTTACACCACGGGGGCGGCGCATGGTGACACGGGTGATGCCACCGACCTTCTTGAGGCCGATACCCTGGAGAGCCTTGCGCGACTTGCGCTCGGCGCGCGAAGCGACCTTGTCCGAGGCGTGGACGTCAGCGCCCGCATCGTCCGAGTCAAACTCCTGGACGTTGAGCTGTGAAATAAAGCAAGGAACCGCTGGTCAGTCATTGCACTTCCAGCACACCACCGCGGCGTTGGCGGTAAGGAGGTGGCAGCAACTCACGTCCTGAACCGAGTCGGCGATCTCTTCAACAGTAGCAGACATTTTTTGGACTGTCGAAAGAAAGAGGTTGCGCAATGCGGATGAGAAGTCGTCAGCCGGCGTGTTCCGGAGCTACAGCAGCCATGCTGTGTATGCCGCTTTGCCAATGTGGTGGATGAATGGCGTTTGCGATGCGTACTGTAGTTCGAAAGGTGGTGTGGGTGGTGGGTGAGGAAAGATGGTGACGAAGCAAGCTTGACGGTATCGAGCGACGATGGCAGCGCAGCGAGCGCCCTGTCCGGGAGTCGCAGGTCCAATCAAGTGGGCCCTCTTGCTCCAGCCGGGCTCACCAGCTGCGTGCAGGCAGTCGGGCGTGGTCAAGTGTGTCTGTGCTCTCGCCGCTTCCGCCCTCTTCTTTGCACTCCTTCTCGAGCTTCTTCTTCGCGCTTTTGCCTTGTATCCCCAGGGCGGCTTCAGCTTTTGTATTCAGACGCCCTTAATGCCAGATTCAAATTGCTTGTATTCGCGCAGCCTTCCTCACCGCAGCCACCTCATCCAAATTCCAAATGTTAGGTTCTATGTGCTTATATCGGCTGTCATCGGGACGGCTTTGGCCCTCCACCTCCGATTGCGCGCGAGGTTGCGGGTGGCTCAGCCAAAGCTTGGAAAGTCGAACGGCGCCGTCCAGATGTGCATGTGCCACCCAGCCTTGCCCTGTCACCTTCATCGTCCTCCGCGTCTCTCACACTCGACATGCGATCGATACTCTCAACGAGCGCGGCGCGGTCAGCACTAAGTGGCCTGCCGCGGCTGGCTACACCAGCCACACGAGCGCAAGCAAGATGCCTGTCCAGTTTCCGATCCTCGGCATCTCCCACACTCTTCCGCAACGCGCGACTCGGGCCGGCAGCCACCATGCCTGCATCTGCTATTCCGGTACGGGCGATGCAGATCCGGCTGGCAACAACATTAGTACGCAAGCCGGAGCAGCCCGAGGAGCCAGAGGTGTACCGCGATGGTGAACCCAGCATCGTCGCTACCGACCGTGCCATTGCGCAGCTCAGGAAGGTCGCCGAGCGCGAGAACAGCTCGTCGCTCGCACTGCGCGTGGCTGTAGAGCCAGGAGGATGCCATGGATACCAGTACAAGATGGAGATCACCGAGGAAGTCGAGGATGACGACTTGTAAGTAGTCCCTTACCAACCTAGCTCGCAGGACGACGCTGACGTTGGCATTTTGTGGTCCGATTCGCACAGCCAATTCGAGGTGCACCCGGGCGTGTCCATCTTGGTCGACAGTATCAGTCTGGCACTCGTTAGGGGAAGCACAATCGACTACGTTACCGAGCTGATCGGGTCGCAGTTTGCGATCAAGGACAACCCGCAGGCTAAAGGAGCAGGATGCGGGTGCGGCGTCAGTTGGGAACCTGCACTCTAGCTCCCGAGCATCCATTGTACTTGTAATACTAGCCTACCTACCGCATTTACTCTCTGATACGATACTCCTCCACCTTCGGACGCAGCCCAGCTTCAGGTCTGCGAAAGCAACGACGAACGATGCTTGATGGCTGAGTAGTGAACGTGAGGCGACAGTCGAGAAGTGTTAGATTCCGATGCCATTCTGGAATCTTCGCGCTCCGCGTTGCGCATGGACCGCTGCGCTGAGTTTTTGAGTCCAACACTTGGCAGTTGGCTGGGGTTGCAGTCCCACCACCAACGCAGAGAGCCATTACAATGCCGCTCAACTACTCCAAGTGGGACAACCTCGAGCTGTCGGACGACTCGGACATCGAGGTGCACCCCAACATCGACAAGAAGTCGTTCATCCGCTGGAAGCAGCGCGACATCCACGAGAAGCGCGACCAGCGCAAGGCCGACAAGGACGCACTGCGCGCCGAAATCGACACGAACAACGAGCTGGCACCCCGACTCGATGAGCTCGTCACAAAGACCAGCGCAGAAGGCTCGGCATTCTACTCTCGTGAGGTAGCCAGGCTGTCAGCGGGACGACAGGAGAGAGGCAACAAGGATGGACCTAACGGCCCAACGGCAGACGACATGATCCTCAGCCTGCTGCTGCAGATTCAGCAGCAGGACAACGTCAAGGGCAAGCAGGGAAGCGAGCTCGATGAAGAGCTGGTCAAGGAGCTGCGCGGGCACAAAGAGAAGCTGGCGGCCAGGCAGGCGCAAATTGGGTTCGAGCTGGAGCAGATGGACAAGGAGGATGCCAAAAAGATCACAAGCGACGGTATCAGGGAGGGATGGAATGCAGGATACGTGGCCAAGGCAGAGCCCGAGCCAACGCCCGCGGCAAAGGGCAAGAAGAAGGAAACGACCATCGAGACTCTCAACAGCCCGTCGGCTGCACAGCCAAGTGCCTCGGCTGAGAGTGACGACGAGGACGACATCCCCGAGGCGGACGATGTGCAACGTCAATTCGCCGAGCTCCCCTCGTGTGTGCCCTCTTCGATCCCTCTCTCAGCCTCGTCGCTTCCGGCCAGCTTTGACGCCGCCAAGTCTCTCAACATCAACGCGTTTGAAACCGCGCTGCAGTTCCTTTCGAAGCACAAGGTGTTGCTTTCGCCCGCCAACAACACCACGGACTCGCTGTTGCTCGAAGCGTTCAATGCGCAGATGGCATCCAAGTCGGCTCTGGCGCGTCGATGCGTCGAAAAGGCCCTCATGATCCAGTACTGCAACAAGCTCGGCCCAGACGGCGTCAACCTCTTCTTCCGCCGCATGGTCGGGTCGAAAGACGGCCGGGCCTCGGTGGTGTATCTCAACGACGTGCTTGCGACGTATGCTCGTATTCGCGACAGGTCCACGGCGCTCGCTGAGCAACAATCGGCAGCAGGAGAGGAGCAGATTCAGCTCGTCGCTGAGGACGAAAATACGATCATCGGGTTCGAGATCCCCGACGGCCCGCCACCGGACGTGATCGAACTCGAGGGAGAGGCCAAGGAGAAACTCGACCCTGCGGACGTCAAGGTGTGGCTGCAGAAGAGGTGGGACATTTTCCAAAGCTTCCCCGAGGACTTCAGGAAGGCGTTGGAGACCAAGGAGCTGACAAAGGTCAACGAGGTGCTGGGCAAGATGAAGGTCGAAGAGGCGGAGGAAATCGTGGGCCAGCTGGACCAGGCGGGCATCCTCAACTTTAGCAGCTCCGAGGTCAGGGACCAAACGGGAAAGTAGCCCCACCAAAGTCAATCACACGACCCAAATCTCAATTCCACGCTTTGCACAGCATCACAGTCGGAGGCGTGAGAGAATGCTCTCTGAAATGTCGGGTGATCCGTGTGAGGTGGTGGACATCACATCCAGCCGCGCAGCCTGGCGACGGTTCGGAACGCGTCCGAGGCGACAAAGCTGCGTGCGTCGTCGTCGGCGCCTGTGCCTGCGGTGCCGACTACATGCTCGCTCACCAGTCGCCGGCCGGTATCCGTGTCAAGCTCAGCCGCCTTTTTCCAGAAGCGCAGCACGGCGTCGCTCTCGGCGTAGATGACCGATGAGATGTTGCCTAGATAGTCCAGGTCCGCCGCCAACTGCGCGGCCCCGATATCGGTCAGCCGTGGCAGCGACGGCAGCACACCCGAGAGGAAGCGCGTGAGGAAGAGCGTGAGCAAGGAGCGCAGATACTGTGACAGAATACCGGCCTCGCTCGCATCCTCGTCCGTGTCTAAAGTCGCACGCGCTGCAGGCGCCGCCGTGGTGGAGAAAGCCGCCCGATGCATGCTCGACCGGTCCGCAGCGGGGTCTACGATCGCAATCGATGCGTGTCGCCCGTGCGAAGCGTTGGCCGCCACTTTGTCCGCGCCCCCTCGGTCTGCGTCACTGTTGAGGCAGAAGAGCAGCGCCTCGTCCGCATACGCCTCGAAGAGACGCGGCAGGTTGAGCATCGCCTCGCCGATGCGCGCCATGGCCTCGGTGGGGCTGAAGCTGAACTTGGGCATGGCGAGGTCGTACTCGTTGACCACGCTCGGGTGTTTGCTGGAGGTCCAGATGCTCAGGCTCGCGTACACCTCGAGCTCGGGCAGGAATTGCGACAACACGAGCTCGTGCAGGAACGTCTGCACCGCCCTGGCAATCGCCAGTATGGAAGCGCGCGCGGTGGGAAGCAGCTGCAGCTCGGGCGAGGCAGATGCAGACGCATCCCACGACGACGCCGACAGCATGCGCTTCGACTTGGAGATGAGCTCGTGCAGCGCTGCCGTGTTGAGCGAAGATGTGGCCAGCGCCGATATAGGGCTGGTGAAATCGGGTCCATCCTCGCCCGGAGCCTTGACAAGCGGTTTGAGCTCCGAGATCTGGTATGCGATCGTCTCTTCCAATGCGCGCACAGCAGCGAGCGATTCGCGGCATGTCTTGAGCTTTTCGGTCGTCTTTCTGAAGTCGTCCCAGTCGCTTGAGGTGAGTACGTCTCCACGCTCGTCGTAAGTGAGCGATGCTTGGCCTGCGCGCTCATTCGTATGGAAACTGCGGATCCTGGCTTGCACTTCGCGGAGCGCGCGCTGCAAATCCGAGTCCAGCTCGAGCTTGGCTCTGCTCATGGCGCCCTCCAGGAGAGCATCCAACGAGGGAAGCAGAGACGGCGTTGCGAATGTCTTTGTGAGTGCAGTAGAACGTCGTAGCGCGGCTTTCGCCACCTGCAAAGACTGCGTAGAAGCGCTTGAGATGGTGGCGCTGGTCGAAGGCGATGAGGCCTGCAATGTGTGCAGACGCGACTGCATGGCCTCAGCTTCGAAGGTCGAGAGACGTTCCTGATACGGAAGAAAGGACTCGAGCATGAGCCTCAGCCAGGTCTTGTCCGTGTTTGACGAGGAAAGCACACTGCTGTCGATCGGTATAGAGGCAGACTCGGGCTCGTCGTCCGACTTGTCCTGTGTACGTTCCGGCAAAATGGCCTGTACGGCGCGGATGGCCTCTTCGGATGCCTTGTATGCGTCGGTGAGGGCGGTGAGGAACGACTCGAGATCGGGCGCACGGGTGGCGTGTTGGATACTGGCGTGAATAGGAGGATCGAGACGGGCCATAATGTCTGCCGTAAGCAGCTGGACGGCTTTGTTGGGATCGGTGAAGAGACGCGACGAAGCCACTCGTTCTTCGCCGAGCAAAGCCAGCAGATCTCCAAAGAGCGAGCTGAGTTGCGCTGGCAGCGACTTTTCGCTCGTCTCTGAAGCGGTTTGCGCCCAGCGGGACAGGAGAGACTCTGAGCGAGCGTTGGTGTAAATCTGAAAGAAGATGGCCACTCCGTTGCGGGTGAGGGAGAGCAGGCCGGCTGTACTGTGGACGGTGTCGGCGTCTCTTGTCGCGATGGCTTGGGCGAGCACGGGTGCAAGATGCTCGTGTATCCTCTGCGTGAGCGACTCGAGCAGAGCGCCTCTTTCCTCGTTGGACTTTGCCGATCCACTGAAGAGACGCAGGGAGTCGGTGGCTTTGACGACGCGGTCGACAGCCTCCTGCCACCTTTGCTCGCTCAGGAGCACGGTGACCTGGCTTTCGAGTGTAGACCACGCCTGCGCCTCTCTGAGCACATGCCTTGCATCGATGAGGTCGGATTTGGCCTTGGAGAGGGCGGCTATCCTTGCGAGTGCTGCGTCGGTGGCGGGCTCCGTGCCGGAGGAGTCTGTCTGCAGTGTCTTGACACGGGACTGCAGGGTGAGCGCAGTGTCTGACATGAGTTTGAGCTCGATTCCAATCTTGGGGATGGTAGCAACGAGCGACCTGATGATCTGGTCTGCCTCGGTGCGCGAGGCATCTCGGACGGACGATAGTGCGAGCGAGAGTTGCCGCAAGGCGGACGAGGTGTCGTCGAGCTTGGTGGTGGCAGTTCGAGACGCGCCCTCCTCATCGGTAGAGGCCAACGTCTCGGAGTGTCCGACAGATGTCTGTTGGATGTGATTGTCCAGCCACGCAGTCACGTTGAGCTTGGCAGACCGGCGCGCCTCTCGAAGTGCTGCAACCGGATCCGAGGTGGGTGGTGCTGTGGTCACGATGGCATCGGATGAGCCGCGCTGGTCAGGTGGTGGTGATGAAAGCGCCATGACCTGGATGAGACCGTCACATCAGTGAGTGTGATGCTGTGATGCTGAGTGAGAGGCGTCGGCAAGGTCCGAGTGCTGAGCTGGAATGAGGAGAGTTAGTTGCTCTCGTTGTGCGGCGTGCAGGGTCTTGTTGCTCAGCTCGGATTTCGGGTCTGTGCTCACTCGCTCCACTTCTTCTCACGCCGTTTCGCGGTCTGCATTTTGAAGGCCCGATTTTTTCGTTACTTTCCGAAAACCAAGTGTGCCAAAAGCATCCTTCCTCCCACCGTCAGGCATCACTTTCACCGTCACATCGATCTCTCGACCTCGTGTTATCATCAGGGCGGCACTAGAACAGCATGTCTGCTGCCGTACAATCCAGCGCCGCTTCGACCTCTTCGACCGGCAATGCCGACATCGACCTGGCCGCCACCACCTTCAAGCGCCTCCATCCTGTCGCCTACCTCTCGCGCTTCCTCGATTCATCGGCGCGCGAAGACGGTCGCTCTCTTGCCGCGTTCCGCGATGCCACGCTCTCGCTTGGATCCATCTCGACCGCAGATGGCTCCTCTTTCGTCCGCATCGGCAACACTTCTTGCATCGCAGCCGTAAAAGCAGAAATCGCGTCTCCACAGCTCTCCCGCTCGCGCCAGGGCTACCTCATCCCCAACGTCGAGCTGCCTGCCGTCTGCTCCTCCAAGTTCAAAGCAGGCGCTCCCGGGCCCGAGGCTCAAGTCCTGACCAGCCGATTGCTGGCCCTGCTGAACAGCTCCAATGTTCTCGACCGCGACCAGCTGTGCATACAAGAAGGACAGGCCGTTTGGTGCCTCTACCTCGACATCAGCTTCATCTGCTTTGATGGCAACGACCTCGATGCCGCAGCGCTAGCGACCGTGGCTGCACTCAGCAACAGTAGGTTGATTCGTGCATCTTCTCATCTCCGGTCTGTGAATGATGAGTGCTGACCCGCCGCTTCTGCCTGCCCGCATTTCGTAATCCTCGCAGCAACACTGCCAAACGCGACATATGACCCGGACTCCGAAGTGGTTCGTTGCTCTTCCTCCCCCGCCGACCGCGTCGCTCTGCAGATGGGCAGCATCCCCTTCGCCTCGTCCTTTGCCATCTTCGAGAACAAGCATCTGCTCAGCGACCCCACCGCCTTCGAGGCCGCCCTCGCCTCCTCCCACGTCACCATCGCCCTCTCGCTAGACCCACAGGCCTCCACACAGTCCAAAGCCGAGCCCATCGTCACCTACATCCACCAGTCCGGCCGTCTAGCCACGACCACCTCCGATCCACCCAGCCATGCGACCGATCAACAGAATCTCCAGACGTGCATTGACCGCGCCCACGCCCGCGCAACCGTCCTTGCTGCGCTTCTCCGCCAGGCCCAGTCTTCATCCGCATAACCCAACTTTGATCGAGACGAAAGGATGGGGTGGGGATTCCTCCTGTTTTTTGTATTTGTACACGGCATCGTTCCAATCAACCAAATTGCCAAACAGCGCAGTGCCGCTGCTTCCTGCCTGAAGACAAACAAGTCCTTAGGTTGCGGAAGGTGCGAAGCTGCGCCTGTGAAGGAGGCTGGTGGCGGGCCCTTGCAGTCGGTCCTCTCAGTAGCCAGCAAAGGCGCGCGCCCTCTCGCACAGCTGGTGCACCTTCATGCCCGCCTTGCTGCCCTTGAGAAAGACCGAGTTGCGCCTCACCGTCGAGATGATGCGTTCGCGCGTTCGCGGCTCCACCGTCGTCAGCAGCTGCGTCACAATCTGGATCCCGTGCGGCGCCAGGCACACGTCGATCAGCGGCGGACGACGCGGCTGCGAGCTCTGGCACATGACGTCGACATAGTCGTGCAGAAACTCGGCATCGCCCGTCTTGAGGCCGCTCATCACCGCCTTTTGTCCTGCCAGCGTCCAGACACAAAACAATAGAAGGTCAGAAGGGAATCGTTTGCTTGCCACGCTCGAGTCAAACTTACCGTACTGAGAAAGCGTCAGCTTGGAAGCGGAGCGCGAGACGCGCTGGAGGGCGGCATGCCGTTCCTCTGGCGATCCGTGCTCGATAATGTGCTGCACGACCCACACGCCCCACTGGTTGGTGGCGCATTCTTCCAGCTCGTCCAGCACCTCTTGCATGCACCGTGCCTTCTCGTCGGGCTGGGCCGACTCAAAGATGTTCTGGCAGATGATGCTGCCAGCCTCCTGTCGCGCCGTGCGAGCCCAGTGTCCCTTGAGCTGGCGATTGATCGACGCAAAAATCTCGTCCCTGAAACTCGACCTCTGCCATTCCGACTCGAGGATGCGCTGCCACACGTGGATCGAGTGGCGAGAAGTGAGTGTCTGGTCCAGACGAGAACCCAGCAGCTCCTGGACCACCGCCTCGCGCACCTCCTCTCCGCCCTCGAGCGCCTTCTGCACGACGTGGCAGCCAAACTGCGACATGGTCAGCTCCACAAACGACCCCTTCAGATCCAGGGCCAAATCGGCACGCGACTCGATCGCACCCTGGACAAGGAAGTTGCCGTGACGGTCGTGAGAAAGCGCCACCACATTCGTGCGAATCGCGTCGAGGATCTCGGTCTGTCGCTCGGGAGTACCGGTCTTGAGCTGCTGCTGGAGCACCGTGCTCGCTTCCTGCCCGCGTCGATCCAGGATCATCTCCACCAGTCGACCAGCAGGAGCATTCTCCAGCTTGGATGGCGAACGTGGAGCAGAACCCGGTGAGTTTAAAGGAGAGCCCTTGGAGAGAGCTTGCGTCCTCGGATGCGCGGGCACCGCTGCCGGAGCACCGTCGTACACTCCCGCATCTTCTCGCAGCCCAGGTACCGCTGGACTTGCTCGGGAAGAGGCCCGACCGTGATCAAAGGCGACAGATCCGGGCTGAGCCGGCTTGACGCCGGTGCTGGCTCCGGCTCCTTCGAAGGCGCCGCGATTAGGTGCCCACATCGACGCAGCCGTGCCGGATCGCTGCTTCCTGTCGGCGAGAATTTCCGGAGTCGTTGGATCCGCAGCGCCGCTATAGATCCGCAGCGGGTCGGCACCTTGCAAGACGCTCTGCAGACGAGGGGCCGAAGTGAGGGGCGGATGCTGGCTGCAGACGGGTGTGGTGCGGTCCGAGTCGGCCTGGCCGTCCAGTGAGCCCGACCCGGCGCTGATGCGCACCACCTCGCTTGCCATGCGTCGCAGAGCCATGTTCTCGAGCTTCAGACGACGAATCTCTTCCACCACATAATCGGGCAGAGCGGCCGGCGATACGTTGGCGCAACCCGGACGGACGGGGCTTTCGTACTGAGGCTCGAACGGAAGGGCATGCGGGACGGCGAAGCTGGATTGGAAGGTATCGGAGTAGTCCGAGCTGAAGTCGGAGCCGGGGTCCGAGGGAAGCATGAAGCGGTCGTCACCCGAGAGCGCCGAAGATGCCGAGGCCACACGATGATGCAGAAGCCTTGCGCTGGGAAAGTTGGCCGGGTATGCGGACATAGCCAAAGGTGGCCCGCCAAACTGCCCTGCATCGACGACACGCCTATCAAGCCCACCTCCGAAGTGCCGCATGTGCTCGCTTTCGGGTCGACGGACCGAGGCGTGCAAAGCTTCGAGGTCTTTCATCTGGGTGAATGCTGCTGCGCCGCGGTTGAACGAGACGTGATCGCTGTAGCTTGGAGGTCGCGAGGCTTGCGATTCGGCCTTCCAGGCATCCAGATCAAAGCTCTTGTCGGGCGCAGCATACGGCCACACGGTGGCTGGTCGGCTGGTGAACAGCTCGGAGTGCGGTGGCTGCTCGACAGGAGAGAGGCTTTCCGATGAAGTCGAGGATCGGTCCACCTCTGTTCGGGCCGCCGTAGCAGGCCTGTCGTCCGGACGTGGTTTGAAAGTGAACGACATCGGTGTCGATTCGAAAAGCGACGAAATACAAGCGAAGATTTTGAGAAGCGTGACACGGAAGGGAGTGGTGGATATCAGCCGTAATGGCGATTCTTGGCGATTCGAACGAGCCGGAGCGTACGCAAAGACGTAGCAGTCCCCGTGTGTGCGAAGAAGATCAGAAGGGAAGGCGGAGCGAGCAGCTGAGTGCGTTTGTATGAGCGCAGGATCGAAGCTCCAGCCGAGATTGTCAACAGAGAATCGGAGCAAGCACGGGGAGCATGATGCTCCAAAGGCAAAGAAATCGAGGTCACAGATGGGTGATGTCGAACAGAACAACGCCGAGCTCGTTGTGACAAGCAGGCGTGTCCTTTATATGCCTCTTTACGGGCAGCACAGACGCACGCTGGTTGCACAGACATTGCTGTTCTCACCCAGTTGTCCACGATGGAAAAAGGCAGCATACACTCAACGCTTCGCTGCACCAGTCGAGATGCTTCGATGGTTGCCATGCAGAATCGTTCACGCTTCCACCCGAGCTGGGCATCCGACGCCACCGGTCGGAAACCCCCATTTTCTGCGCATCGAAGCAGCGACGCAAGCGACGCGGCATCTCAAGGCTCACACTCTGTCCGTCGTCGAGCTGCAGACCAGGTGACCAGCCAGACAATCGGCACAACGATCTTTGGGGCTTACTCACTCTGTCGAGCCGATGGGCCAGCGTCCGAACTAGCCAGCCAACGCGTGGCGCAAGATAATGACGCGGTCATCAGCGGGTTGGTTCTATGCACAGATCAGTCTGTCTGGGCGCTCGTGCTGAGTGAAGCGCTCGCCGGACAGAGGACGATCGCTCGAGCCGGCGAGTTCTGTGAGCGCAACGAGCCGCGCGGCGTCTAGAACAACTCCAAAACGCCGAAATGGCGGGAGCGACGTTCCCGTAACAACGTCGTTGGCTAGACCGTTGTCCGCCAAGCCAGCTTCGGCTCGAGACGCGCGCGCTACTTGGCATTGAGCGATGATAGCGGCGAGATCGGACAGAATCGCCCGGTGGGAGGAGCTCAGAGTGCGTGACTGCATGCACAGCCGCATGTGCTCGGAACTGGTGCTCAGCAGAACGACGCAGGCGCGCCTCTGCAGTCACAGCCTCTACCGTACAGTCACAGAATCGCGTCTTGTGATTTCCATCGAAGAGCGGGCTCTGTGACTACACAGAGAGCGGAGAGCAGGAGCGGGGCTGAGTCAAGCCTGCCTTGCTTCCGCACCTAGTGCCGATGCACTTCTTGCGCAAGGCCGTGCCGACTTCACCCGGACCAGGCTGTGGCTTCGCGTTGCGCACTCTCTCGCTCCGCTGCCTTGTCATCTTCGTCTCGATCGGCGCAGCACGGTGACACAAAACGCACAGGCGAGACCTTCTGCTAGAATGCGAAAGGGCTGATGAATTGCTGCTGCAGTCACGCTGGAAGCCCGTCACAAGGCGCCACGCCGCGCACTGCTGTCGCCGCTGGAGCTGCCAAAGATGGCCGGGTCGTCGACGTCGTCTTCGCCGGCGCCTGCATTCGAGCCGTCCTCGTCGTCGTCCATCTGCAGCACAGCATCGGCTTCGCGCAGGATTTGCGAAATGGTGCGTTCGTGTCGCGAGGAAGCCACCGTCTTGGCGGGACCCGATGCTGAACGCCCTCGGCTCGCCGAGTCACTCTCCTTGTCCGCTCTGCCAAGGCTGAAGCCGCGTAGGCCGGTGCGCTTCTTCTTGGCGTCGGGCGAGGTCGACAGCTCGGAGCTCGACGAGCGCGGAAGCGGTTGCGGCCCATTTGTTGGGACAATCGGCCTCGAGACGTCGAATGCGCGTCGAGATGACGAGGATGCGCCGACGGATGAGCTCGAGGAAGCCTGGCGCGATCCGTGCTTTGTTGCAGCGCTCGAGCGGCTACTGGAAGCGACGTCCGAGATGCTTGCGTGCGTGTCGGCCGATCCGGGACTCTGTGCCAACGTGTAAGAGGTCGTGGCGGGCACCTTGGCGGCGGCATCCTCCGACGAGGTGGTCTGCTGAGGCGCCGACACGGAAGTGAGTTCCTCGACGGGCTCTTGCTCGGCATCGGCGGAGGCGGCGACGGGATCAAGAGCCTCGGAGCGGTGCTCTTCGTAGCGCGAAGCGATCATCGCTGCGTTTGCCAATTCCAGCTGGAGCTCGTCGTCGGCTCCAGCCGGCGCGCCGGTGTCGACCTTTGATGCGCCTGGCTGGCTGTCGGCTCGCGTGGGAATCTCTGGCATCTTGACCGGCACTGCCGCCTCGGTGGCCGCATCGGGCACCTTGGCCTTGGCGACGTCCTCCGATGCTGCGTGCGAATCGCTCGGGATGGATGCCGAACTGGCTGATGGCTCGAGCTGATCGTGCGACGGTGCGACATCTGCGTCTTGGCTATGAGCGGAGGGAGGAGCTGGTGCGGCCTTGGATTGCTCCTCAGAAGGCTCTTCCAGGCTTGCACGCGTCAAGATTGCCTGCACGGAAGCCTCGGTATCCTGCGATGCTGGAGGAGCGGAAGCTTTTTGTGCATCGTTAGTGTCGGAAGATCCGACATCTTCGCTGCGAGTGTGCTCGATCGCATCGCTCGAGCTTTCGGCAGCAGCTGCCGATGCCTCGACTGCTTCTGATGAATGCCTTGCTTCTGCTGCCTCTACGGACACCGCTGCCTCGACGGCTTTGGCTGGCTCAGACGCCTCTTCTGTCTCCACGGCCTCGACTAACTCGACTGGTTCGACGGGCGCCGCGGACTCCAGCGCCTCTGCTGCGTCCGTCGGGGCTATTGGCGCTGCTGCTTGCGCCGCATCGTCCGTCTCGCTTTCGGGAGCCTGCGTGCTCGGTTCCGCTTCATCTACAGACGCGGATGCGGGTGTATGCTCTTGCTCGTCTGACACGAGGGGCGCTTCAGAGAGCGAAGCTGCCGCTGCCGTCCTCGGCGCTGATTCGTGCTCGGGCTTCGACGGCGAAGAGCCCTCGACCTCTTCTTTTGGCGCCGAGACCGGTGCTTCCTGCAGCAAGTCGACCTTGGATGCTGCTGCAGCACTCTCGACCTCGTCTTCTGTCGAGGCAGGGAGCTGTGAAGATGATTCTGTAGCAGGGGCGGATGACGTTGCCTCGGTCGCCTTGACGGCCGCTCTGGTCGGAGGAGAAGAGTCGCTACTGGCCTTGAGCAAGCTGGAGCGAGCCGATCCATGGCCCTTTTGCTTGGCCCTTTGGGCGAGATCTCTTGCCACCGCCTCGTCTCGGGCCTTGTCGGCTGCCGAGCTCGGCTTGTGCACGCGATCACCACCAAGACGGAGGCCCTGCGGGATGGCGCCCTGGTCCAAGAACTGGTCGACCTCGTCATCGCCAATGTCGACGTTGCTAAGGCCCAGCGAAGCGAACAGGTCGTCGATGTTGTCCTGGCTGACGATGTGTTTCATCCTGCTCTCTTCCATGGCGTCGTCGAGCGTCTTGCCCTGCGAGACGGCGTCGCGCAGCAAGGCACCCGAGGTCTTTCGGTTGGATGTGAGTGCAGCCGCTTCGGCGGCGAGTGCTCTTGTCGATCGCTGGGTGGCCGAGTAGCGCGCCATAGGCGAAGCTCGCGTGCCGTTGCTGCTGGCCGGGCTGGGAGAGCCGGAGGGCATGCGCTGGTGCCAAGTTTTGGGACCCATCTTGGCCAGACGCAGCGGCTTGACGGCTGCCTCTTGGGAAGGTTGATACTTTTTCTCTGCGGTCGAAGATGGCTGGACGGAAAGCTTGCCGATGTCGGCGAGCATCGCATCGACGTCTGCATCGTCGATATCCTGCTCGTCGATGTTGAGCGAATCGATAAACTGGTCCGCATCGGGCTCTTTCCAGCGTCCAGCGCCCTCGGCAGCATACGGCAAGGTTGGGTATAGGCTGGGATCTTTCGAGCTCACTGCTGACTGCGCCGGGTGGGGTTCGGCGGTGAGTGCTGGCTGAGTCGCGGCTACTCCAAGAAAGAGCTCGAGCTCGCCAAACTCGACGGCCTCTTCAAAGTCGTCGTAGGAGCCGACCCATTCGTTGTTCACCAAGATGCCGGGGAGTTGTGGATCCTTGGCCTTGCGTCGCCATCTGCTTTTGGCATCATCATCGGAGGCGAGATCGTGGTAGACGTAGGCGATCTTCTTGATGGCAAGCACCGAGGTGAAGCGCTCGTGGCGCGTGCGCACCTTGACGTTGGAGAGGATCGAAGTGCTGAAGAGCTCGACAGTTGGTTGCGCCATATTGGCCGAATGTGCGGCGGAGGAACAGACGAGCCGGCTCGCCAAATGCGCCACGCCAGCGTACGGTCGAGAGTGAGTTAGGTGGATGCCATCGTCCGGGATGAGCCTCGACGTGGAAGAATGCGAGTTGAGCGCCAGCTGGAGTCAGGGCCGTGCGGCACGCCCCTCATGCACCGAGTGGCCTGGCCGCGGCCTGTGCAGTTGGCACACACGCGCTTGCTTCTCCACACGCCTGCTTTTGCCCTGTTGGACCCTGCTCGACACGTCTCGGACGACAGCGGCTAAACGCGACCATTCGGTTCCGATCCTTCGGCTGCTCTTCGGCCTCTCCCTAAGGAAAGATTCGGGACGTCCAACACCTCAAAAGATCTAACGCGTCGAGAAAATCGAAAAATCGCGATTCGGGGCTGGATGACCAATCCCTAGACCGACCTGCGATGTCAGTGTTCGCCCAGCTGACGGCGCGACCTTCTGAATTCAAAAGGCGCTGGCCAGAATTTCGAAACCCTGCGATGGAACGCCCGATTTGAAATCCGACGCTGGCGGCGGCTTCAAATGCTTCGTTTTCAAATGCACGACGGCCACAGGCCAAGGCGAGGGAGGGCACGGGCAGCAGCCGCATCATCGCCTTCAGCCGTCCGTCCGCGTCGGGACAGAAATGAGAGAGGCAGCCGCACCGCTCTCTCTCTCTCTCCCTCAATTGGGAGTTTGGCAGGCCTTTTTCTTCTCAACCGGCTCGCCCTATCGCGGATTTGCAAACATCCCTCCCTCCACGCTACAGCAGCCAGGGCGCATCCGCTGTTTCATCGTCATCATTCTCCTCCTCACCACCACGACATCCACCCTCGCGTCACCGTCATCCCCTCACTCCCCTCTAACATCACCATCATGATCGGCCAGAACGTCGCTCGCGCCTCGCGAAGCAGCCTCCGCGCTGCCTCCCTCCTCGGCCGACGAACCATGGTCACGCAGGAGGAGCGATGGACGCTCGAAAACGCCCGCAACGCCGGCTCCTTCATCGAGGGCCCCAACAAGGTCCAGCTCAGCCACGTCGTCCCCAACATCGAGGCATCCTGGAAGTCCCTCTCCAAGGAGGAGCAGTACGGCGTCTTCCGCCAGTTGGAAGAGCTCCAGAGGAAGGACTGGAAGGAGCTCAGCGTCGATGAGAAGAAGGCTGGTAAGTGTCTGCTCTCGCCGGCCACGCAGCCTCGCCGCGCACATGCTCGCATCGGCAGCCTGGATGCACGCTCCAGCCGCGTCAATCGTGCCGCACCAAGGGCGAAAGAGCCTGGACGCCAGCTTGGACCCAGCAATGCGCTACGCACCGCTTGACACCCAGCTTGGCCATCATCCACTCCACCGCTGGCGTCCTGGCTGCGACATCAATCCAGGCATGACCCTCGCGACACCTCTCGTACGCCCATACGTCAGAGTCCCTATACTTACACGTCCTACTTTGCACTTCACAGCGTACTTTGTCTCGTTCGGCCCCCACGGTCCCCGCAAGCCCATCACCGCCTCCGGTCAGGGCGCAAAGACCTTTGCCGGCGTCGTGGCCGCCCTCGGTGTCACCACCGGTGTCTTCTACCTCATGCGTGCCAACGGTAAGTATGCCCCCGACCCTCAGCAGCCGTCGCAACCGCCCTCATTCCGAACCACGCGCTTACATCCTTGCCCATGGCATCACACATCCAACAGGCGGTGCCCCCGTCAAGACCATGACCAAGGAGTGGCAAGAGGCCTCCAACGAGATCGCGCTCGAACAGAAGCAGAACCCCATCACCGGTATCGCCAGCGACAACTACAAGGGCAAGGGTCACGTTCAGTCCGCATAAGCCCGCACTTGCTCTCGTCGTCCGCCAAAATATCACTCTTTCTTCACTCGTCTTTCCGTCGTCGAAAGGGAGGAATCATCAATCTAGATCGATTTGCACAGCATCCTCGGCCCACAGCATTCGTCCGCCGCCGTCTGATTCCGACATCACGCCGAATCCGCCTCGACTTCGTACTGCTACAATTTGGGCCGCTACAATTTGGAGCTTGCGCCCTCTAGCAGCGGCACTTCCGTCAGCTTGCTCAACTGAGCCAGCGCCGGAGTCGAGTCGCTCGAGTCGACGCCTACACCAAGGTTGCGCGCCGCATCAGTGGCATTCGGAAAAGGGACAAACGCAGGGTTCTGTCAGTGAACGTGGGCTTCATCAGCAGCAGGGCAGCATCTGGAGGGCAGAGCGAGGGACACTTACGGATCGTGGTGATGCCCAGCTTCTGCGCCGCCTTGAGGTTGGGTCCAATGTCGTCGAGGAACACCACCTCGCTCGGCTTGACCTTGAGCAAGTTGAGTGCGTACTCGTAGAATTCGGGGTCGGGTTTCCTTTTACCCGCACGCGAACGAGCCGGCAACAAGCCGGAACATCAGTGTGTCAGTGTGTCAGTGTCGGCTCTTGGAGCGTTTGCAGGAGACTACGAACGCACCTCTTGCCGACGACGGCGCTCTCGATGTAGAAATCAAACAGCTTGCGCAGCTGCTCCTGCGACGAGCCCAGCCCAAGGTGCTGCAGCTCCTCGTCGAGCGAAGGTGCTTTCCCGCCGCCTCCCTCCGCTGATGCGGAGACTTCGGTGGGGGGCGCAAAGTTGTTGGTCAAGGCCGCCACTGTGAATCGGCCCGTTTCTACAACATAGAAGCGTCGCTTCAGAGTCAGTATTGCTTGTCTCGGCCGCGCGCCTTGGTGTACGTTCATCCTCACCTTTGAGCCGCATGATGGCGGTTCGCATCTTGGGGTCCACGGTGGTGGAAGTCCTCATCATCTGCCCGAAGAGCTGTTCAACAGCACACCAGACCGACGCAAAATGATTAGTTGAGCCGCTGCGTCGAGGATTGCCAGCAAGCATTGCGCAGGCGTACGTACTTCTCGTCCGTCCACCTTGAGCTGAGTCGGAAGCTTTGGAACTTCTGTAACCGTTCGCCACGAAACCCAAGCCGCGTCAGTTCTGCAGCGACCACGATGCTGAACGGCGAGTGCCGACTTACCTTGTCCTCGACTTTGGCAGAACTTGGTGAAGGCGGCATTGTTCTTCTCGACGTCGCTCAGCTCTTGGCCGAATCGACGGTAGAAGGTATACAGGTCGAGCTCGCTACGTTCAAATTGCTACGGATCCGCAAGTGCAGTTGAAGGTCAGAGCCTCGTTTGCACGACCCAAAGCGCTTTGCCCGAACTCGTCGACTCACCTGAAATGCACCGCCTCGGCCTTGAGCGGTGATGGCTACGTTGAGATACTGAAATGGCAGTCCATGCTCCTTCTCGTACCTGCAATGCAACTCGGATGGTCAGCACATGTGCTCGAGAGCGCATCGGGGCATGAACTCACCTGTTGATAGCAAACAGCGGGCTTCCAACCACCACGCCGCCAATGTCAAAGATGACTGCTTTGAATGGCATCACGTCTACGTCGTCGGAGCAAAACAGCGCGAGTGGAAAGAAAGATGGCTGTTTCTGGCTGACAGCAGATCCTGCTATGGTGGCTTCCTGAACGTCGTCTCGTGCAAAGTCGTGGATTCGTATGACGGTCAGGCGGGAAGCATGCAAGCATGCAAGCATCCAGCAGAGGGTCCGGGCGGGGAGCGTGGATGAATGCAGCTTCGACGTAGCCGGGAGTCGGGTAAATCAAGACGCCGAATTCTGACTTGAGCTCGTCACCACTCCACCCCACACCGCTTGATGCTCAGTTGCCCGGCCAAGACAGCAGTGCCCAGGCACCTTCTTCACCACAGACTATGGGCGATTGCATCGATATCCACTTCTCGCTTGAGGCAACCATACTGGCGAGCTCAATCGCACCACCCCTCACCTCCGCTTCGACAGAACCGCGAAGACAATCGAGATGGCTCGACTAGGAGGGCCGAGAACAAACCAAGCGGTCATGTTGCTCTCGAATCTTGGCCTCAAAATTCTTAATCCCCTTTTTCCCTACAATTATGATATGCTTCATCGATACATTTTGTCTTCTGGCATCTTAATAGTCATGAATTCTCGCATGACGAAAACTAGCTTCTCGTTGTGCGAGTCCAAAGACGGTTTCAGTTGAATAATAAATCATGCCTGCCTTCCTCCCTGCGCAGACGTTAAAATTAAGCAGACGCAGATATTAATAATTCATGACATTCGTGTTTAAGGATGTGAGTAATGGCTAGCTTTTGGAAGCTCGCAACCAGTCTTGATAAAGTTCTGAACCCTCGCCCCCTCCGGTGTCTTGTGCTGTCTCCGTTATGGCTGCTTCATCCGCTACTCCTGTGCCTCGTGCTCCCGTTTATTTGCACGTCCTCCCAGGCAATGGCCCAGATGGGTCTGCCCCGGCCACCTTGCTCCCTACCCGCGCCGAAGAGAATTCTCCTGGCAGAAGCGCAAGCGTCCCTGGCAATGCAGTGAAGGGAAAGAAGAGGGTCACATCCACATAAATCGATGTTGGCCGAACAAAAGTGCAGATGGCTATCAGGCTTTGAGCCTGATCTTCAACCTTGCAGACATCTTTGGTGCTGTTTCCCAGTACGCCAGCTAGAATCAGAGTCATCACCAAGAATACTGGGAGCTAATTAAAAACTCCAATCATTCATAAGTATTGGACGTCTTCAGGTCACTGCAGGGTGGCTTGCTGCCCATGGTTTACGACACAGCTCAGGCCATTGTCACTTTCACAGCGACGGCAACGGTACTTTGCCAGCTTGTAAACACATCATATAGGAAGCGATTGATGCAGAAGTTGTGCCTGGGGAGGTGAGGAGTTGAGCTTGTTGGTGCCACAGCGTCTTCGGCCCGAGCACTTGCAGGGATTGCTCGAAAGATCTGTGAGCAACAAGTCGCAGCTGGTCAACGCGATTTGTTATGATCTAGATTTTCGAAATTGCGAACTTGGACCCTTTTTTCTGGTCAGCTTCGTACGTCATGACCAATACGGAGCAGCTGAAAATTCCCTGCATGAAAAGACAGAAAAGTAGTCTAGAGTTCAATTCATGATTATGCCATTTTTCAGTGACCACAGAGTCGTATTTTGAAGAATGCGAAGCTATGGTTGGCGAAAACAGCGGGCAGCAGTCAGCCAATCGCAGGTGACCGGCTTGTGACTAAATTATCAGCAAGGCAAGCATGATGAAGCTGCGTTTGTTCAGCATGCGAGGTGGTTCTTCTTCCTGCTCAACTAGTCGCGCAGGCGATGAGGGTGCTGCTTGAGGCCGATAGCTTCAAAAGCATGACCTTTGGTTGATGGATATCCCAGAGCATGAACGCAACAATCATGCCTGACCACAGATTCTGGTGAAGTTTTGAGATCGCGCGCACGGGTTGGAGTTGACTACAAATTGTGATCGACTCACATCTGCTACGAGCGTCTCCACTCATGGATGTCGGTATAATGATTCCGAGACAGCGGAAAATCATGCGTGGGCGTGGACTCGCATCATTGAACTTGCGTCCATAATCCGGCAAAAATGGCGAGCCGGTCCGTCGAATCTAAGTTGGGAAACCACGCACGACTTTCTTTGATTCAGGTTCTAAAAAATTTACGGAGTAGCTTTACAGGGACCAGGGCTAAAGATGGTTTCATATGACAACGATATTGATCCGCTTCAGAGCTCAGGTGATCACAAGGAGTGTCACAAATGGCCTCCGGGTGATCATGTTATTTTCATGATTTTTATTTCATTGATGGGCCTGTTCTGAAAATGGGCCTATGTCTAGCCTTTCGGCTGCGGTCTCGATCTTTCAGCTTCAGCATAAAGCGCCTAGACACCGGTCGCGAAGGTTAAGCAAACTACATGATTTAGCATCCGTCCTGGTGACGGGGAGCCGCGCGTCGCCTTTTCATGTAATCTTTTGAGTCCAACTTCGACGAAAGTGAGACGTCAATCGCGATGTTAAAAATGCTTGAGCTTGACGATCATGACTCCTAGTTTAGGAAAAAGTCGTGATTTCCATTGACTCACATAAATCAGCTCGGATGCCTGATTTGAGGGCACGCTATGATTCATGATTTACGCTGCGCGCATATGATCGTTTTGCCGTGATAGAATCATGTGACGGCAAGCGAGCCTTACTCGGTGGTGGTGGTCAATGGACCGGCAATTGACTAAGGATTGGCAATCTCAACACCGTTGGCATCAACAGCGTCATCTTAACGACGTGTCTCGTCACTGCCAGCAAATACTGCAACAACGGCATTGTCAAATATGTTGAAGCAATGGTTTGAGGAATCTGCAATCCAGAGGCAGGCAGTGGACACCTTGTCATCTGCGCTATCCTGTACTTTTGACCAAGTTCTACCCCAGAGATTGGCAGCGCTTGTTGATTTTGCCAGAATTGCCATGGACTGTATATCAAAATTCAGCTCATGGGTACTTCAATGTCATTCTCGCCTTTGACCAGATGTGGACAGGTAAACTTACGCTGCAGGAGCTCATCAGATTTGGGAACGACAAGACGATCGACCCTAGCTAGATAACAAGCTCAGCCGGATCAGGAGCAATGGCGGCAATACACAGGCAGAAGCTTGCTTGTCAATGCGACTAGGATTTAGAACAAGTGGCGCCTACTAGGCAGCTCTCTGTACTGAGCAATGAACACAAAATACACGTGTGGCTGTGACTGAACATCCTTGGCTTGGAGCATGTCATGGAAGCTCCGGTCCGTGTT